TGGCTCTGCTTTAAGGTTCCCTGCTTTGACTCCGATTCCCACCTCCTGTTTCTGCTTTTATGCCCCCTGCTTTGACTCCGACTCCTCCCAGCTCCACCTCCTGGCTCTGCTTTTAGGTTCCCTGCTTTGACTCCGATTCCTCCCAGCTCCACCTCTTGTTTCTGCTTTTATGCCCCCTGCTTTGACTCAGACTCCTCCCAGCTCCACCTCCTGGCTCTGCTTTTAGGCTCTCTGCTTTGAGTCCGACTCCTCCCAGCTCCACCTCCTGGCTCTGCTTTTAGGCTCTCTGCTTTGACTCCGATTCCTCCCAGCTCCACCTCCTGGTGCTGCTTTTAGGCTCTCTGCTTTGACTCCGATTCCTCCCAGCTCCACCTCCTGGTGCTGCTTTTAGGCTCTCTGCTTTGACTCCAGCTCCTTCCAACTCCTGGCTGTGTCTCCTGACTTCGCCTCCCAGCTAAGGTACCCCAAAGACACATGTGACACTGATGGGGACAGCTGGTGTAAGCGGACACTCTGATGGGGATACCCAGTGTAAGGGGGCACTTCGATGGAGACAGCTGGTGTAAGGGGACACTCTAATGGGGATAGCCAGTGTAAGGGGCCCTCTGATGGGGACAGCTGGTGTAAGGGGGCACTCCGATGGGGCCAGCCAGTGTAAGGGGGCACTCTGATGGGGACAGCTAGTGTAAGGGGGCACTCTGATGGGGACAGCTAGTGTAAGGTGGCACTCTGATGGGGACACTCTGGGGCAATATAAGGTGGCACTCTGTTGGGGACAAGCAATGTAAGGGAGCAGTCTGATGGGGACAAGCAATGGAAGGGGGCACTCTGATAGGGACAAACAATATAAAGTAGCACTCTGATGGGGGGAAAAATGTAGGGGTGGCACACCTGGATCAATGCATCAGCACTCTGGGGGGGCACTCTGTTGGGGACAGCTAGTGTAAGGGGGCACTCCGATGCCGTCAGCCAGTGTAAGGGGGCACTCTGATAGGGACACTCTGGGGCAATATAAGGGGGCACTATGATGGGGCCATCAATGTAAGGGAGCACTCTGTTTTCCCCCAATCAGAGTGCCCCCTTGGATTGCTTGTCATCATCAATGTAAAGGGGCACTCTGAAGGGGAAAAAAATTTAAGGGGGCACGCCGGGGTCAATGCATCGGCACTGTTTCTGGGAAAACACATCAGCAGCTGTGTGTTACAGTGCAGCTGCTGGTGTGAATGCGGCCTAAATGGCAGACCACAGTCCAGAAACCGACTGAGTAGTTGTTCTGTTCGAACCATGATTTGGACCTTGGCTCAATTTCAAATTTTGCTCACCAGACCTCCTTCAATGTTAATTCATTACCCCTGGTTTAAACTGAATTCTAGTGCATATAGTGACAGATTTATTATCCAAGTTCGTTTCATTCCTAAATGAAACAGAGACTTTTCAGAAAGATGACACACCTTGAATCCTTTGAAACTGAAGTTGTGCAAAACTCTATGTGGTCTATTCTTGGGCTTTGTAGTGTCCTGTTTGTACAGTATTATGTTGGAGACTTTTGTCATGTGAGATTTGTGTTGTTTCCACACAGAGTGTCTCCTTAACACTGGTAAGAGAGCTCCACTATTATATCTTTGTATTATTTATTAGTCCAGTGTACAGGCTGTATGGCACCATGGTGTCTGTTCAGTGCTCTGACTCACTGCTGCCTCTTACAACCATGATATAATGTATAGCTTTATAGACTTGGCATGTCTGAAGTCAATTGAGGTAATTCCAAGGAACATACAGTAAAAGGAAATAAGGGTCCCATTACACATACAGTCACAAACTCATAAATTCTGAGCATTGTAATGTATCCCACATTGCCAAGGAAACCTGCCACCGATGTCAACACTCTCTCTCTGACACAAGTCTTTGTAGGGAACCTTCCATGAGCCGGAGTGTCCCTATTCCAAATTTAGTGGGCCGCTGTGCACTGACTGTTATTGTAATGGGTTTCCCAAAAGCCTAGGGCATTGTTTACCTCTGCCTGCCCCTGGGGAGTTTTCTCCAGCAGATAGAGCAAGAGGATACATTGTTATGGGTTTTGGATATCTATTTCACCCTGGCAAATAACTAGGAGGTTTATTGTCAGTGATGTGGGCTGGGGAAGGAGGTATATATTCTGGGAACCCTTCTCCCACGCTTTGTCAGGAGATGATGTAGCATTGGAGGGTCCCTCACCTCCCCGGCCTACTGCCATTCCATTCCAGAGACAAGTCCCAATGATTAGAAGAGTCAGTAACTATAAATGGGAAAGGTAAGTAAGAAGTGGAAGAGAAAGAAAAAAGATAAATGAATAGACATTTTCAGCCACCAAGACTTCATGATTTCAGATGGATATAATCAAAGCACAATACAAAATTTCTCAGCACTCAGATTTTTGTTAAAGGAGAACTATGAGGTGAGTGATTTTCACTTTAACCTCATAGTTCGAGCTGACGTGTGACAATGAAACTGTCACACGTTGCCTCAATAGATCGGAAAGTGAGCGGACACACATCGTCGCTCGCTCACTTCTCGATCCTGCCACTCACGGCTCCCTGCAGGGATTCCCCCCCCTCCCCGCTCCGATCTTCCAGCGCTGACTGGAGGAACGAACGGGGGAGGGTACAGCTGGCTCTGCCTTTAGATAGGCAGAGCCAGCTGTCAATCACGCAGCTGGGTGGATCTCGACAGTAATGTCGGAATCCGCCCTGGCTGAGGCGGTCTGAGTATACGCGAGCTGTAGCTCGTTTATGTCCTCCCGTGACCCTTAGGAGAACTATGGGGAAAAACAAATGCAAATATATCCACATCTCTGTTTAAGTGTTGTTGCTAACTTTAAACTAAGATAGACTCATTACATGCAAAGCAAGATAGTTCAAGCCGTGATTTGTCATAATTGTGATGATTATGGCTTACAGCTCATGAAAACCCAGATCCACAATCTCAGAAAATTTTTGGCAGTGTGGGCAGGTGCCAAGTCCTGCTGGAAAATGAAGTCAGCATCCCCATAGAGCTCGTCTGTGGAAGAAAGCATGAAGTGCTCCAAAATCTCCTGGTTATGGCTAAGTTGCATTAGTGAAATAAATGAACTTTTGCACGATATTCTAATTTTTCGAGTTTCACCTGTATATGGCAATGCATTAAGGGAGTGCAGGCTTACTAGGAGGCAGCCCCCACCCTTAAGTCTAGGCTCACACTGTTGTGCTGCGGTAATGTGTGGCAATGCATATTATGTGTACCAGTACTCTGCCATGCCATTCATTGTTAAGGGCACCTCAACATACCAATGCAATGCACATTTACACATGTGTTAATGCACCTGCAACAGTGTGAATCCAGCTTAAAAGTACAGCTGCAAACCACAGACTACACCAGGTAGTCTGTGTCAGTACCAAATCCAAACCAGCAAAAGAAATGGCAGACACTTGGCTTTACATGTATGCACAAAAGAATGCAACAAAAACCTCTGTTTGTAATTAAAATGTTGAAGTAGATTAATTCGGTATTTTGATTAACTAGACTGAATGCTGGAGAATGTTTGTATTGATCACTGTATTGCCCTACCCATGTGCACCTCCATTTTCCTAATTATAAATCAATCCCTGTCGTATACATGGATGGCAAGGGGGGCAGTAAAAACATGGGGGTAATCTTCAGTTTTTATCGCAATGCCAGCAATGCGGGTGAACAGTGGTGTATACATTGCCAGGGCTGTGATGCTCTGCATTGTGTTGCAGCAAAAACATACAGCATGGTGCATTTGGGAGGCAGTGCCATTTGTCAAATGCAATAATTGCAATGAAGGGGTATTGCAATAGAAAATCCCCGTTGGGATAAAAAAAAAACCCCAAAAACTACATTCAGGAGGTGGCAGTATCGCCTCCTGAACGCCAGGATGCCGCTGCTCCATCACAATCTGAAAAAGCAATTCACCATGGATCGCTTTCAGAGGGCAGTGGTGGCTGCCGCCTGTGTAACCTCAGCATTACTGTTTTATATAACGTAAAAGATGTGAAAAGATTTACAAAGGGATTCCAACTTCCCACCCTATGACTTGGAAGTGCATCAAGGAAATGTGAATAAACCTTAATGATAATCACCCATCTGGAAGGGGGGTAAAAAATATCACTGGCCCTAGAGTTTGGGGACAAAAAAAGCGAATGGTGTTCCACTTATATAGATATCTGTGGTCTTATGGTGTTAAAGGTGTGGGGCTTCCATTTATATGAGGGCACCAGGGGTGGTGTTTATGTCAGCATGTGGAAGGAAATATTTGTATTTCTTTAAACGAAAAAATGAAAAGTCGTGCAGTTACCCCTGGCAGCATCAGGTCAATGTTTTCATCCCCTAGCCTGCCCTAGAAAAATGACATTTCCGGCTGCTACATGCAAAGGTGGTGGCCAAGGACAGGCTCTACGTAACTTAGCATGTTGAGGTGTTTCCTTGCTGGTAATAAAATCTTGTTCCTATAGGCAAAGGTAAACATGAGTCTGATGACTGTCCCTCTTGCTCAGCGGGGAACGACAGGAAGAATAACCGGGGTGTGGCCATTGCAAGACTTATGATGATCATATATTTTGGGAATATACAGAACCCCTGAACGTTCGCTGCACCTTTATCATGAATTAGAGCCCCCAGTGATCTCCAACTGTGATTTGAAAGATGTCTGGTCAAGTCGGGAAATAGATTGTTAATGTAAACACCAGAAACGCTTAAAAATCCTGATGAATCTCCAGTGAATGAATATTGACTGAGACTGTCGGGCAAAAGACGCAGCTGCACATGGCTGGGGGGGGAGGGGGGTGAGGCGCTGCGTTTCTTCTCATTACACACCCCTCCTAACCAGGATGCAGCAACAACCTGCAATGTCTGCGCGAGGCTCCTCTCTTCTCCGGAGCCCCCCGCAGTGACAAGAGCCGCTGCTGCAATGTCTGTGCTCCGCACCACTAGATATGTATACTAATGAAGCCTTTCTCTTCCAGCTCCGTCTCTGAAGACCTGGGCTGCCGACGGGGCGAATTCAGTAGAAAACACTACGGCTCGGTGGAGCTGGTGAGTTCCCCAAATGGGAAACGTTCATTTCCATTTACACCAGCAGAAGGAGAGGCTTCTGGGGGTGGGGTGGGATAGGATATACTGTCAGATGTATTCAGCCATGTCCCTGAATTGTGAAATGTCCTGATATACCACAGTATTGTTAACTGTCTTGACATAGGACGATATCATAAAATGTTCTGATATCAGACAAGGATGATCGTATATGCTGTCATGATATAGGAAGATAGTATATACTGCCACCCATAGAGGATGATGGTGTATCCTGCCCTGATATAAACAAATAGTGTAACCTGTTCTTATATAGGATGATGGTATATCCTGCCCAGATATAAGAAGATATTATAACCTGTTATTATTTAGGATGATAAAATATCTTGAAATCTTGTCCTGATATTAGATGATAGTATAACCTTTACTGGTATAGAATAAGAAGATAGTATAGCATGTCCTTATATATGAAGATTATATGTCCTGTTCTGATATAGCATGAGAGTATACCATGTCTCTATATAGGATGATAGTATATCATGTCCTGATATAAGAAGACTGTGTATCCTGTCCTTATATAGGCTGATAGTATATTTTGTCTTGATATAAGATAATAGTATCATCTGCACTGATCAAGGATGATAGCATATGCTGTCCTGATATAGACTGGCAGTATAATCTGTCCTGGTACAGGATAATAACCTGTCCCAATATTAGAAAATAGTATAATGCTGTTTAGGATGATGGTATAACCTGCCCTGATATAGGATGACTGTATATCCTGTCCTGATGTAGGATGTTAGTATAAGCAGCCCAGATATCGGAAGATAGTATAACCTGCCTTGATAAAGGATGATGGTACATCCTATCCATTACTGAATTATTTTATAAGCTATTTTGATAAAGGATGATAGTGTACCCTGCGCTGACATAGGATGGTAATGTATAACCTGTCATAGTAGGGGGTGATAGTATATCCTGTCCTGATAGAGGATGATAGTATATCCTGTCCTGATAGAGGATGATTCTATATAGGATGATAGTATATCATGTCCTGATATAAGAAGACTGTGTATCCTGTCCTTATATAGGCTGATAGTATATTTTGTCTTGATATAAGATAATAGTATCATCTGCACTGATCAAGGATGATAGCATATGCTGTCCTGATATAGACTGGCAGTATAATCTGTCCTGGTACAGGATAATAACCTGTCCCAATATTAGAAAATAGTATAATGCTGTTTAGGATGATGGTATAACCTGCCCTGATATAGGATGACTGTATATCCTGTCCTGATGTAGGATGTTAGTATAAGCAGCCCAGATATCGGAAGATAGTATAACCTGCCTTGATAAAGGATGATGGTACATCCTATCCATTACTGAATTATTTTATAAGCTATTTTGATAAAGGATGATAGTGTACCCTGCGCTGACATAGGATGGTAATGTATAACCTGTCATAGTAGGGGGTGATAGTATATCCTGTCCTGATAGAGGATGATAGTATATCCTGTCCTGATAGAGGATGATAGTATATCCTGTCCTGATAGAGGATGATAGTATATCCTGTACTGATAGAGGATGATAGTATACCCTGTCCTGATTAGCATAATAGTATACACTGGCCTGATAGAGGATGATAGTTTTTTCTGTCATGATAGAGGATGAAGGTATATCATGTCCTGATAGAGGATGATGATATGTCCTGACATAATAGAGGATGACGATATATCATGTCTCGATAGAGGATGATGATGGATGATGGTATACCATGTCCTGATAGAGGATGATGGTATACCATGTTCTGATAGAGGATGATGGCATACCATGTCCTGATGGAGGATGATGGTATACCATGTCCTGATGGAGGATGATGGAAAATCCTGTCCTGATGGAGGATGATGGAAAATCCTGTCCTGATAGAGGATGATGGTATATCATGTCCTGATGGAGGATGATGGTATATCATGTCCTGATGGAGGATGATGGTATATCATGTCCTGATGGAGGATGATGGTATATCATGTCCTGATGGAGGATGATGGTATATCATGTCCTGATGGAGGATGATGGTATATCATGTCCTGATAGAGGATGATGGTATATCCTGTCCTGATAGAGGATGATGGTATTTGCTTTCCGAATAGAGGATGATGGTATATGCTTTCCGAATAGAGGATAATATTATATCCTGCCCTGATAGAGGATGATGGTATATTCTTTCCTGATAGAGGATTATTGTATATGCTTTCCAAATAGAGGATAATATTATATCCTGTCCTGATAGAGGATGATAGTATATTCTTTCCTGATAGAGTAGGATGGTATATCATGTTCTGATAGAGGATGATAGTATATGCTTTCTTGATAAAGGACGATGTTATATCCTGTCTTGATAGAGGATTCTGATAAAGAATAATAATATAACCTGTTCTGATCTAATTTGTCTTGATATAATATGTTATAACCTTATTCCGATATAGAATGATATTGTAAACATTACTGGTACCTGAAACCATCCTTGGCTTAAGCTGATATACACTCTCTTGGCTAATGTAAAAAACACAATTGACATTTAATATCTCTGTGTTTTGTCTGGTGGTTATGATGACGTATCTGGGCTCTTCCAGCCTGACATAGCTTGGTTTCAGCCTTTGTCGTGAGGAAGTCATTTATTTTACATAGTGAATGGCACTCTTCATTTTGTTCTTCTTGCTGAATTCAAGCACAGCCTATGAAGGGAGGTTTTATGTTGTTTGCAGAAACTCTTCATTACTACTTGTCTTGTGTCAATTCAGCCAGTATGCAAACTGCAGATGTTTTGATTCACCTAAATCTAATTGTGCAGTTTTGTCCATTCAGTGGAGCATCATACGATTCGTGAATCACAATTTCCTGGATTATTTTTGACCTGCAGATATTCAGGTGAATCAATCAAAGAAGACTGAGCTGATCATACCATTGTCAGTAGATTTGCCCTTTATTTGTGGCCCTCTGGCATCTCTGTGAAAGGCCTGAGCAGCTCGGATCAGCCCAGACATATGCAAGACATTTCATTTCCCTCTACCATTAGCTGGGATGACATTTCCATGTTTATTTCTTATGTCAAATGTTTGTGGGAAACTTTTTGTTTTGCTGGTAGGCCTGAAGCTTTGTCTAGAGTAATTTAGGAACACTGTAGACCATTAGCAGACAATGGATTCTCCACGGACCTGTACAGGTGTATGGAATCGCATAGACATAAACATTTCGCCAAAACATCTGACTTATTCTCTGTGTTGCCTTTAATCTTCCCCTTTGCCAGGAAGATGGCGGCACCCCATTAATCTTCTCTGTTGTGGATATTTTTCCTGGTTCCTGGTACAGCATGCAGAGGAGATTCAGCAGCATCTGCCCTGCAGGAATGTGGCGATAGAGATCACGTTGCTGAGCTCTTCCTCTCCCAGCAGATACTGATACTATCCAGAGCACTGAGCAGTTTCTTGATGGAGGCTGCAGACACTATGTGTGTGAGTCATTGCCAGCCTCAGCGTCCTCTAATCCGCCACACTCCACTCACTGACATCTTCTGAGGGCAGCGCCGCTTCTCTGCCGCCACTCTGATGGCGACTTTTATGTCTTTTCATGTCACACATCATCAGGTGCATCCCTCTTGGAGTGGGTTTCCTTTTTGCATTTCAAAGGGAAGATCTCAAAGGTTAAGCAGATCAAAGCAACATCCCATTCTTATGCACCAGCTGCAAATATGTCTGATCCCTCTGCAGGGGTTCGCATCAGCTAACTGATGCACAGTGCTGCGCACTACGGTCTATAATGCTGTCCATAGATGGCATTCTGACCCTTCTGCCACTCATACATTCATTAACTGATGCTCAATAACAACATGGCTGCTCTGAGCAACACTGCCAGTTATGCATTCAATAGTTTACAAACAGGTGCTGAAGCTGTCTGTAGTGCCAGTCACTTAGAATATACACATTCTGCGAAAATTCATAAAGAGTGATGTAGATGCTCATTAGAAATCTGTTTTGCAACAAATGGTGCAACTTGTGACGGATTTATACATGTGTCAGTAAGGTATATATGAATCTGCCGCAAACCTGACAGAATTGTTGCACAATTTACTAGAAAATAGAAGCGGTCTCATTTACCTGTATTTTCCTTATCATCAATATAGAGGTATTTCAGTATGAATTTCTACAAACATTAGCCGCAGACAGTAAAATGTAGCAAATTAGAACTACTTTAATTTGTCACACGCATCGGTACTAACGATTAAAATGTTGCATGGGTTTTTGTCAATTTGGCGCAAAGATTCCAACTGTGTTGCAAATGTCATATTGAATCACCCCAATTGTGCCATGTGACTCTGAAGTAATACAATGTTCTTTAAGGGCTAGTATGTTGCGCTTGGTGTTAATTGTTCTTAGTTGCCTTGTTTGGAATTGCCTTTGCCTTGGAATTTGGTTTTATCACAATGTAGAAACCTACAATAATATAATACTAATGGATTTATAGGTACTTGTATAGTACTAGTATAGAATAAGTATGAGTACCAGCTGCAGTGTTAAAGCCTTACTCCAACAAAAAAAAATGCTCTGAATTGTATGGGGAAGGGTTACAATTTCTGGCAGGCTTTTATTTGAGTATGAACCCATCAGAAAGATTGTCACTTACTTCCTGTCCCTGTAAAGGTGCCCATACACTGCACGATTATCGTACGATAATCGTATGCGATCGGTTTTTCGTACGATAATCGAGCAGTGTGAACGGAGACGTGCGACCGTTTCTACTGTACGGTCGCACGTCTTCTGTCGAACCAGCATGTTCGAAAACCAGCTGGGAATCGTACGATTCTCGGCTGGTTAGAACGGTGCTCGGAAGATAAATGCTGAACGGGCCGGTGTGCGCACGCGCACACTGCCCGTTCAGCATTGCGGTCATCGGAAGCCCGCCCCTCAGGGGGTGGGCTTGCGATGATCGAGAGTGCGATCTGCCTG